CCCCGGGGGGGGTACTCCCATATATTTGCTATACGGGGACGTGCCGCTGGCCAGGGTATGGTTTTTGGCCTTGCTGTCTTAAACAGGGTATACATTTCACCCGAAATTGTCTTAAACAGGCTCTACAATTTAGATAAAATAGACCGATATAATTTCTGTGTGTGTCTTGGACAGGGTAATATTTTCATAACACCGTAGAAATACCGTTTCACTGTCCCAGAATTAACGTGTTATCAAAAACTTCTTATTGTCTTTGATGGATGTCAGTATAATTGCAGTTTTGATGGTTGCGGCGTAGATAGCTATTCCTTATTTTTCCGATTTGTCTTRAACAGGGTATGGATTTTTACTTTTTAGTGTCTTAAACAGGGTCAGGGATTTAGACCGCTGGCGGCACGTACCTATCCAAAACGGGGTCGAGTGCCCCCCCCCCGGGGGGCGATATCGATCGTAACTCATTAATTTTCCGTGATCTGCATTAGACCAACGAATGCAGACAGAAAGAGGTACGTTAGCGATAATTCCCTTGATTAAATTGATTTTCCAAAAAAATCGAAGCTATTTGGATATAATCGATGCAAAATAAAAACACCTTCATTKTTCTCCAAAGTTAATTTTCTCGAGATTGTAATAAAATTTTCAGAGTCATTTCTTAATAACATAATTGACCTACTGACGAACTAGTTTGAATGAAATCTTAACCCTAAATTTTCGAAATATTTGAGCATTTCAAAAATGTTTCTCAAAACGATGAGGCCATGTTTAGGTAATTTAAAGTCCTAGTTTGTGACAATGTTCGAATGTTAAATGAAAAAAACTACTATAGCTTGAAAGCTTAATCTTTCGTACAACTGTTGTCCAAGGGAAATGCCCATTAGTTTACTACGAAAAAAGTTATTGCCATTTACGCAACTAGTATATTTTAGAAATTTAAACAACTTCATTTTGGAACGTAAAATAATCTTTACTAAAAACACTACGCGTTATCGCTCAAATAATCAAATTTCCATCCCCAGCAAACACTGCCAGCTACATTTGAGCTTTCGAAAGAGCTACATTACGATAAAATAATTTTTTGGGGAAAAATGGGAAAATGTTAATAAAAAGTAAGCCGTCTTCTAGCCCCAGATCCCCAGAATGGAAATTCTCACTAGTTTTTTTTTTTTTTTTACTTATATGTACTAATAATAAAACTTTTTTGCAGTTTCAAGTAATAGTTCGTAGATTCATTGCATAATTTTTCGTGTTTTCAAAGACCCTAGACATGGCTTTTCAAGGATCAAAAAATTCAAAAATTCTTGCCCTGTCCGCCCCCCCTCCCTCCCCCCTTTCGCTTTCGGACCATGCTGCGCGGTCACTGAAGTCCTCGAGTTTTCACTAGTCTAGCGATGAAATTTCTTACTCGACTCATTAGATTCCAAAAGTTGAAGTATTCGCCTCTAGTGGGCAACGACGCTTGTGCATACTGGCCGTATTTCATTTCAGATCGAATAGAAGGAAGTGATTACTACGCACGACTCTTTGATATATTAAGTATTTTGGCCTCGCAAGACTTTTGATATTAACTTCATCTCTACTTCACCATCCTACGTTTGGTCTTGACGCACAAAATTAGTTAGTCTTGTAACTGAGGAGGTTTTTTAATTAAACCAAACTAGTTTTACAGACAAGAAACAAGCAAATTTTGTGCGTCAAGACCAAACGTGTAGAGATGAGATTACGCACGAGTAATAGCGTTTAGAATATTCGTGTACAATGTGTGCAAGATCGTGTATATATTTTATCAGTATTTATTATCATTTTGCGTATGAATTTATGGCAAGATAAGATATTAAAGTGCTGGTGAGTRTGGGAGCTGGTTGAGACGACAAGTCAGACAGATTTTCTAAATGCATGAGTAAATGCCGTGTTAGTTTGTTCGTAGTCTTAAACTTGATATAGTTAGGATATACTAAATAAATACTCATAGTGGCGGATTGAATTTTGCATCATTCAATTGATGTGACGATACTTTGTTGCTATTATGGGTCATCACCAAGTCCTGTTGCCTCGAATTACAACTTCAGGGCACTCTTCTGCGTGCTCTAAGTATCCAAAATCAGTAGGATAGTTTGACAAAATGTATACAAAACTGGAGCTAATTGATTGTGCTGTAGCGAATCATCCTTTCTTGTAAAAACACTTCCAAGAAGATGTAAAAGAAGAACGCCCAAAATCCCGGAAATAGATTGACTCTTCATCAGTCTCTTACTCRGCTTTTCCGGGTGTGGGCAAGTTTGGGCAAGTTTAGACTTGGAACGAAACAACATTCAGGAGACTGGTACGAGTTTGAATATRATTAAAAATGGCCGATCCATAGAACGTAAACAACAAAAGATACCAAAAAAGTCATTGCTTTTTAATCATCTTCCAGATGTCTTCTCTACATAATGGTTTTCTCTCTACGAATAGTCAATGCAGATTTTTATACTGCAGATCCTATGCCAGGATTGGACCCTGTTTATTCAGATTTTCGCTCAAGTAAAATTGTGAAAGTTCCGGTGATACGAATTTTCGGTTCGACACCAAATGGTCAAAAATGTTGCTTGCATATTCATGGMGTGTTTCCTTACATCTGCGTTCCTTATGGTGGAGATGAACCGAGAGATGCTTATCTTAAACAGTTTGCTACAAGTGTTGACTTTGCCTTGCATGTTTCGCAGGGCAAAGCATCTTCAACGAGTCGCCACGTCCATAAAATAGAGATCATTTCAGCCAGGTAAGCTTACATGCACTGAGTTTTGAAGTTATACGATAAAAATTAAACTAGCACGTTTTATTTATTGGTTTACGTTATTTATGCTGAATGTAGACCTAGATGCGTAGATTACGTAGCTTTTTTTTTAGAAATATTGCCAATTAAATATAAGCTTAATAAAAGTTTTTAAAAACGATAAAAGCACCTATTTTATTATACATCAATTGATATGTTGTATGGTTGTTTAGCGTTATACTAATAAGATAACACAATCAATATGCATAAGCTTGGTATAAAAATAGATTTATTTGACACTATTATTATAATAATTTTTTTTTTTTTTTGAGACTTGCATCTTGTGTATCATCTATTTCTTTGAATTTTATCTTGCTGTTTTTCGATTTTCAATCTTCAATTTTATGTATGAAAAGAACGAAAAATAATATTGAATTGATATAATTATTGTGTAATGTTATCTGGTAGATCATTTTATGGATACCATGATGAGGAACAAGAATTCATGAAGGTGTATTTCTATAATCCTTTTGTGGTCACAAGGTAATCAATAATATAATTAATACTCGTATGGTAGTTAGCAAATTGAATGTGCAATTTGAGTTATGCATCATGTTATTGACATAGTCTCGATGTTATATAAAATGTCCAAAACTCAAGTAGACCCTCCAGCAGTAGTGTGTACCCACTTTTGACATCCGAGTCAATTCTTCAGAGACTCTGGTGACTGCAAGTCCACTTTTAACCTGCAATAATAGAAACAGTCTTTCCCATCTACTAGTGAAGCATTTACTAAATTTAGAACCATTTTGGAGGAATGTGTGTCTAATTCAATCACATGATCATGAATCGGCACCGTGTTGTATGACTGAACAAGCGGAACTAATGAGAAATGCTTTGTTATTGTCATCAAACATGGCAGCCATTGTGTAACATGAAACCGAGAAATAATCATTCCATAGGTGTATCTAGATTCAACACTTTTTTATCCGTGAGGTTATTCATTAATTGTTAATTTTTCATGCAGATGTCTGTAAATGCTAATTCATGTATGCCCTTCTATCCACCCATCAGTCATCCACACCTTCCATTCATACACCTAATTGAAAAAACGTAGTCGTGTTCGTAAAGGTCACATCATAGAAGCTAAGACCGAACGGTGTACCGTAAATCAAGTAGAGCTAGTAAAATATTAACAGCATGCTAGTCATTTATGCTGGAGAGATGTTTGTTATGAAATTAGCCAAATTGTCTTCCCAAGCACCCTTTGGGTCTTAGCTTCTATGATTTCACCTTTTTGGACCCCACAATGTTTCTTCAATTAGGTGTTTTTGACATCCATTTACTGACTCTTATTAAATGGTACAGGGTGGTTGAGTTATTACAGAGTGGCGCAGTGATGAACAAGACATTTCAGCCRTATGAATCTCACATACCATACATCCAACAGGTACAATATAAGCATAAATGAAAAATGTGTATGGTGCAAAACTGTTCAATTTAATGAATTAAAAAAAATGGGAAGGAATGTTAAAAATGTGCCTTTTCACAATCATCATTTTCTAGAATATTAATATGAGGAGAGTTGATTTAGAATAATTGTTGACATTAATTCATTGCATTTTTCTTGTGTAGTATAAATTAGCAGATATTCTAACATGCATGTATTTTGCTTATAAATATTAAAGAGAAATCAAATTTGCAGATGTTTATTGATTACAACCTCTATGGAATGAACCTGTTGAATGCTTCGTCAGTTATGTTCAGAACACCCATCCAGCTAAAACAAGGTACATGTAAATCAGACAACCTTTTTTCCTCCTTTGGGCTTCCTTTGTAACAGTCATTTTGGCTGCTAAGGACTTGTGTCAAGGAAGGAAAAATAACAAGGGAACGAGTTCTGCGCCTTACCCCTCTCTTGCTCCCATTCTCCCTCTTCTGGCTTCCTAAAAAGACCAGAAGTGTGGTGTCACTTTTAGTGATGCCTGCACGGAGAAGGCTAGTAAATCATCAATGTTTTGCCTGGCTTCTAGGGGAGGGAGTTTCATGAAAGYAGAACTAGACTCCTCCCCTCATTCAAGAAAGTTTGCACTTTTCATACTATYGTTGCACATTGAATTAAAAGTAAATTGTGCAAAAGAAAAAAAAAATGTTTGTAATGTTTCAAAATCATCTAAGACAACCATGAACTATTATATATATCTACTGATTATAACTACAGCAAAAATGAATTTTAAATCATATTGCAGATGATCCAGCATTATATGAAGATAGCTCCCATTCTCCTGTCACACCTATTTTGTCTCCTTCAAGTATTACCACAGGAAGCCCATGTGAGCAATTTTGGACTGAAGAAAATGTTCCAAGGTACATTAGGGTATTAACAATAAAATAATGAAAAAAAAAACACAAAAAAGAGCAATGGGTTCATGTCATGGTTATAATCATCAATGGCAATCTGAGATGGAATAGTTTAGAAAAAAAAAATTGTTCGCCAACAATGAATCGAAAGCCGGATCTTTCTAAATTCAATAAATATGCCAATAAAAGTTTGAAGAAATGCACATCTAGACACAGCATGAAGATAACAATCCAACGGAATGTGATATTGAGCTCAGCGAATGAACAACAAATCTTGAATCAAGCATTATGATGTTTAGTGATTTTGGTAGCCATGTTGGTTTGTTTTCCTTTACTGTCTATGTATAGAAACTGCCGCCATGCATCAGCTGTAGAGAGGATTAGTCTATGTGAATTAGAAGTCGACGTCAAGGCTGAACACGTCATGAATCAGTTTGAAATTGGAAGTAAGTATTGCACTGAGTTCCGCAGATCAGTCAACAGAAACCTCTAGCACACAAACCCTGAAACAGCTATCACACGACCACTGAAACCACCAGCACACGACCGTGCAGTCGTTGTAAACGTTTTTAATATTAATTTGTATGATTATTTTAATTGAAGCAAGCATTGGTACAAACCCTGGTCTTTTGACGATATGGCAGGACGAGCAACAACGGAGACAAGACGAGAATGATACGAGCGATCTAGGACCACCAATTTCTCAAGGTAGGTACATCATAATGATTGTAGCTACATTGTCGCTCAAGTACATTTGCTCTTATCTGATTCAAAACAAACGTTGACAGAACTATCTTGGGTGTTCAACGTATTCTGAGRTTACCAGAACTGTTACTCTTTGACACACAATATCTTAAAGTGGCAATGTTGTTTAAAAAAAAATAAAAACTTTTGGGATATAAAACATATTTTACTTGAAATGATGAACATGTGAAACTTCGTGAGACTTGTCGGTCTAGTTATCGCTGCCAATCAGGATCCACCAAGAGGACTCTCAAAAAAAAAAAAAAAAAAAAAAAAAAAAAAAAAAAAAAAAAAAAAGAATAAATAAAAAATAAAAGCGATGATGGTGGTGATCTTTTTTTATCTTATTTCTGTCTGCAGAACGCGGTAAAATTCCTTTACTCGAAGCAGAGCGAAGATACAAAGAAAGACTGGAACAAATTATTGTCGATAGAAACCTTATGATGTAAGTACAGATCATTTCGTAATGTCCCATCATTCTTAATGACAACCGGACATATCAAGGGCGGAACCTTGAGAGGAGTAATTTTTATCAACTAAGTATATCCTACTGTCACAGTTTATATAAAACTTTTTTCCTGCGAGAAGGTAATTAGAATAAGTAACAACACAAATATAATTCAAATCGTTTGACGGAATTGGGCTTCCCTTAGCAAAATTCAAGTCTCTATGCCAATCAAATTGCAATTGGTATGATTGCACCAATCTTGCAGTACTACAGAAGTTCGACACGACGCTGAGCTACTTGTTCTAAGCTAAATATAGAATTTTTGTCCGAAATCAAAGTGGCRGAATTCAAAAGCAGCTTCCTTTTTTGTRAACGAAAAATATTGTCTTCTCCTGTCTCCGTGTTTCTGATTTGCATTTGCATTTTTTCGTTCTGTCAATATTTCACTTTTTGATAACATATTTTGTCACATTAGACAAAGTCAGGCTGAAGATCACGTACCTTCTTCAATTTCTCCACCTCCAATTGAGAGAGAACCATCGAGTTTTGGTAAGCAGTGTCTTAGATAAAGATTGATTTTACTCCGAAATTGTTACATAGCCGTGCGTCAAGTCATGCATGCACAAATTGTAGAGAAAATACGCCCTAAACTTTAAATACGCCCTAAACTTTATAATCCTGCGAGCTGTTGCCATAAGATCGTCGTGAGATTGCAGGCTTTTTAAATGTGCGATGAACGTGAACTATAGCGTTAAACCATCTTTCGAAGGGCAATAGAACGGATAGCAATGCATTTCAGTTTTGAAATACACTACCWTCAGTCTTCAACATTTTCTGAAACCCATATACCTTTGTTACGCAGAATGCTATAATACYCTCAGATGTACTAAATGAGTAATTCTCTATTTAGACATCAATGAAAATACACCGATCGTTGACCACAGTATCTTAGAGGAAGTAACCAGGTCCAGTCAGCGGGCATTCTCGCAAGAAACAGGTAATCTTGTTACTTCTGTCGCAACGTGAACGTCACTATCCCTTCGATAAAACAACCTATTTGTGTTGCTGTGTTTCCTCGCGCGCTTTCCGTTTTTTTTGGCGTTGTTTAAAATCTTACGTGTACTCTACCTTGGTAATGGTCGCTTAGGCCGAAAGCTCGGTCGTACTAAACATCATATCAACGCATATGATTCATTAATTTTTGATACTTCTGCCTGCGTACAAAGAAATTTTAAACMTATTTGTTTATTGTTTTGTTATGTTAGGAAATGCCACTGATGTCGAAATGATCGAAATCCTTGCAAGTTTAGCAGAATCTCAAAGTCAGTCAAGATGCCAAGACCCTATAGGTAACGTTCCAGAAAAAAAAAGAAAAGAAAAAGCACTCAGTCTAACACCTATTAGTGAACTAAGTAATCACATTAAAGTGGACATCTTGGTATCCATAATCTTTATCACCGACATAATGATATCAAAATATCCCATACCATTGCGGGAACTGGCTGTATATTGCCATGAGCAATGTAAACGATGGCGCGTCGTCATGCCTATAGCTACCAAGATGTGTGTTGTCCATTTTCTATGTATGAATAGGTCAAATCATTTTCAATTTTGACTAAATTCCACTTATTTTAAAATAAAATTATTTAAAATTAAACCTTTCATGCCCGCAATTTATTTTTGAATTTAATCAAACTATTGTAGATTCATATTCCTCTGAATTTGTTTACTTCAGTGACGAAATCTGGGTTTGCTGTGCTGGGTTTCGAAAAGTTGGCTGTGGCTAGATCTGCAGGGACTTTTACGAACCAAAAACTCAAAAATGCTCAAGATATAGGGTGGTCAACTTCAAAAAACGAGGRATTTCGATTTGCAAAAGACGATTTTGACGTGATTCTCACTCTTATCCGGTGCACCACAAAGTCGAAATTTATCATTTCTTTTTTTAAGGGTCCTTTTTGCCCAGATATTGTGCTAGATGTTAATTGTTTTCAACTGAATGGTAGAGYKTCATTACTAGCTGTTGTCATGTGACACATTTGGTGGTCTTAATTTGCGATCTCGGAAACTTGGAAGACCGACAATCCCTAAAGCGGACGTCAAAGGGTTAAAATTATTTTAAAATTTATTGTAAGTTTTATTGTATTTAAATTTGACTATATCTCACTTCCAACTCCAGTTTTCACCAGTGATGATGATGAAGAGGATGAAAATGAAAGACAAGAACAAGAAGATTCCATTGTGATGTCGCAGCAGGTTTGGGATGATACTGACCCAGCAGAGATGATTGACAATGCTGATATCAGTGGTGAGAGTAATGAGCACGAAAACACCGATGGATCAGGACCGCAGCCGTTAAGGTATCTCTTCCTTTTGATATCAATCAGTATACTGTTATCCAACTACAGAATTTCCTCAAGTAAACTTAGGGGGCAGAGACCTGGGAGTGAAGATTGCGAGTGGAGATTAAACTCGTGTAGGTGAATGGAAATACTGTCATAAGTTGTTTTTATTCCTTCCAGCATGATTGAGTCAAGTCTTATAAAATTGTTTTCAGGACCTTAAGATAGAAAACGGCAATATGAAGCTGGAAGTAATTCATGTCTACTCTCCCCTTCCACTACTATTTATTTATTTATTTTTTTTTGTAAGAGTTGGACTGTCGTTTTGATGAGCACTTACATCATTGTGTTTGGTTTACATTCTAGGATGTCTCAGTTTGACTTCCAAGGATTGGATGAAACGTGGGAAGTTTCATTACTAAGTGAAGAACCAATATCTCAGGTAGATGGCACTAACGATGATACTACAGGTACTCCACCTCCCGTTCGAACATCACAAAAGAAACGTTTATTTAAGAGAATACCGTATCCTACAAGAAATGCAAGTACACAAAAGACAAGGGACATCTCATCACCAGATGACATAACTTCATCAGTAGTAGTGGAAACGGGCAGCAAGAAACGAAACGTCACACGTCGATTAGGCATGTCGTCTGTGAGGGTAACAAGACGATCTCAGAAAACTGACCTCAATGAAGANAAATAACACACGTCACTGATCTCGAAATTCCACATGTCAAAGTGAGCAAAACGGAGGATGGCTCGCCAAGAAAGATGTCGTTATCCTTACGCAGTAAACCTCGCCGACCATCGTATTTAATGAATGCCCAGCGCGATTCCTCACTGGTACACATGAGTGATCACATTCCTCGAGCAAGAACAAGAGATACAAATGAAGTGAATAAGGCATCCTCCTTTGAGTGTACCAGGATCCGAAGTTTGGCTCAAAAAAGTCCGTCTGCGTCGGAAAAGGAAGCACTGCCCACTGATGAGGTAAAGCGGCTTAAAATTTGTCTGGAAGAAAACGATTTACCACAAAAACTAGACGAGCAGCACCAAACACAACAGAAGGAGCAACGGCAACACCTTAAAAACTATCATTATCAGCAAGAACAAAAGCGGCAACAACAGCAAGCAGAAAGCAGACAAAAAGGAGAAAACTGCTACAAAGATATCAAGAGACGTGTATTTTCTGAATTCAAGTGTTCTGGACTTAAGGCAAGAACTAAGAAGGACACGGCTGAGCTTTTAGGAAAGGATTCAATAGAAACTACAGATTTACTTAATAAGACACCTTTGAAAACTATGAAAATGCATCGGAAGAAACAACAGCGCTATACCACATCCTCAAAAACACCTAAATCAGACAGTGAAAAATTGGAGTTAAATAGTATCGAAGATATCTCTCCAAAAAAAGTCTCGAGAAAACTTGACATTAGATCTTCGAAAGGAAAAACAAATAATTTCAATAAATCAGAATACAAGGTAAATGAAACAAAATCGCACGAATCAGACTCTCCCGAAATATCTTTACACGACAAATTAGAAGTAAATATAGAGAAACAAGAAAGCGTAACGCCGAACCAGAATCAAAATGTACATACMCAAATGAGGCCACAAATGAAAAGTTTTAAGATATTTTTGACGGATGTGGCAAGCATTGACTCGAAAAGGTATCTSTACAACGCCGCACTCGAAAGATGGAARCGACAAARCAACGAACAGCAAAAACTCAAAAGGATTTTCTCGGCATCACATAAGTCACCACTTAAACGCATTGTTAATTTTTCATCTCCACAAAGACGAAGAAACTCAAGTCCACGGAAGTCACCACAAGGAAAGCGTTATGGCGTCCTTGATGTAACTATTCATATCTCTCCACCGCCGAAAGCTTCATCAGAAGACCAAGCTACTCCGATGTCTAACCGAACTGCTTCCTCGCCATTGAAGAGGGCTAGATCTTCAACATTCACTAAAGTTCGGTCTCAGTC